ATGACACTTTTTCATATTTCTGCCTTCTCCTGTGTCAAAAGCACATAGTGTTTTGTATGTTTTCCTTACACAGGTAGTTTGTCATTGTACACATCAATTGTAATTTGCTGTCTTTGCTTAGCAGGATCATTCTTGTGCCCTAGCCAGTGATTTCATGATGATTTAGTTTGCCCCTTTTCCCTAGAGAATAGTATAATACCATGTGGCCACATCACATTCCATTTTCCCACTCCATTTGTGGATGGGGCCCGGCTGAGTCATGTTGAGTAGAGGCAGTGTGGGTGAATTGGCCAGGCCTGTTCTGCATGCCACTTACTCAGCAAACCCTTTCTGGGCCTCCGCTGTGAGCCACACACTGTGCTGAACACTGACCTGAGTCTGAGGCCCCAGCTCCAGCCCTGCTCTGGACAGAAGGAGCACAGAAGTAAAGAACAGGGGTCTGGAGAGCCACAGAGAAGAGGGTGCTATTTAGAAGGGTCCCTAGTTATGAGACCATCCCTCTCCCCAGGCCCTCAAAGCAAGTGCAGCCTGGCCACACTGGAACTCTCTTTTCAGTTTCTAACTGCTTGTTGTTGCTTGCCTTGTTGGAGGCAGGGTCAGGACAGGTGTTCAGAGAAATACAATTTTAGGGCCAGGAGAAGTGGCTCATGCCTGTAATCCCAGCGCTTGGGGAGGCTGAGGTGGGTGGATTGCCTGAGCTCAGGAGTTTGAGACTAGTCTGAGCAAGAATGAGACTCCATCCCGAAAAATAGCCAAGGCATTATGTTGGGTGCCTGTAGTCCCAGCTATCTGGGAAGCTGAGACAAGAGAATCGCTTGCGCCCAGGAGTTTGAGGTTGCTGTGAACTGTGATGCCATGCTACTCTACTGAGGGTGACAAAGTGAGACTGTTTCTCCAAAAAAAGAAGGAAAAAAAGAAATACAATTTCTTTTTTTTTTTTTTCTTTTTTTCCTTGGCAGTTTTTGGCAGGGGCTGGGTTTGAACCCTCCACCTCCTGTATATGGGGCCAGCGCCCTACTCCTTTGAGCCACACGTGCTGCCCAGAAATACAATTTTGAAGTAATGAAAGTAATGATTCATGAGGGTAAAAACCAGTTTGGAAAATTCTTATGTCAGGGCTCAAAGATGCCGAGTGGGTCTGCACAGAGAGATTTGTGCTTAGCTTCTCCGAAATTGCTGGTGTGTCTGGGATCCCAGGCATCCCTCCTCCTGCTTGATCTGCCTAGTGCCCTAGAAAAGAGCAAAACCAGACACCATGTGTAGGAGCCTCCCAAACTCAAACCTCCCTCCTTCCTTCAGGACCTCTTCTCAGCCCTAATCAAGGGCCCCACTCGGACCCCTTACGAGGACGGCCTCTACCTGTTTGACATCCAGCTCCCCAACATCTACCCGGCAGTGCCCCCCCACTTTTGCTACCTCTCCCAGTGCAGTGGTCGCCTGAACCCCAACTTGTATGACAATGGGAAGGTGTGCGTCAGCCTGCTGGGCACCTGGATCGGAAAGGTGAGTACAGCCCCAGCCCCCCAATTAGTGTGTAGGAGGAGTCAGCAGGGGTGTAGTCTGTCTGGGACTGAATTGATGGTGCCATGTATGTTTCAGGGGACAGAGAGGTGGACAAGCAAGTCCAGCCTTCTCCAGGTGCTCATCTCCATCCAAGGTACTTTAGGGCTGGGTGATGTGGTGACAAGGAGGAGGGTGCTGGAGGGCACAGTGACTGACTGTCGGGGGTGGGTGGGTTTGGAGCTAGCCTGCCCCTGCTTCTCCCACTCACTGAGGAAAGATGTCCCTACTCTGCAGGTCTGATCCTGGTGAATGAACCATACTACAACGAAGCTGGCTTTGACAGTGATCGGGGCCTACAGGAAGGCTATGAGAATAGTCGCTGCTACAATGAGATGGCGCTGATCCGAGTGGTGCAGTCCATGACCCAGCTGGTGCGGCGGCCTCCTGAGGTCTTCGAGCAGGAGATCCGGCAGCACTTCAGCACTGGTGGCTGGCGGCTGGTGAACCGCATTGAGTCCTGGCTGGAAACCCACGCCTTGCTGGAGAGAGCCCACATGCTGCCTAATGGGGTCCCCAAGGCTAGCAGCTCACCGGAGCCCCCAGCTGCAGCCGAGCTCTCAGACTCCAGCAGACAGGAACCTGAGGATGGAGGGCTGGCCCCTGGAGAGGCCTCCCAGGGCTCAGACTCAGAGGGCGGAACCCAGGGCCCAGCCTCAGCCAGCAGGGACCACACAGACCAGACTTCGGAGACTGCGCCAGACTCCTCCGTGCCACCCAGTGTTAAACCAAAGAAGCGGAGAAAGAGTTACCGGAGCTTTTTGCCTGAGAAGAGTGGCTACCCTGACATCGGCTTCCCCCTCTTCCCGCTTTCTAAGGGTTTCATCAAGAGTATCCGGGGTGTCCTGACGCAATTCCGGGCTGCTCTCCTAGAGGCAGGCATGCCTGAGAGCACAGAGGACAAATAGCCTACAGCCCTTGAGGAAGGAGCATCACAGTGGGAGAGGCCAGCTGCTGCCTGCTCACTCCCTCCCTGGAATCTCCCCCATCCCCGCCCCTCTCCCCAGTCTTCCCATGCAAGCCCCTCACCACCCTCTTCTCCCCAAGGTGAGTTTGATGCTGAAGTGCAAGAAGTGTCTTGAGATGCTGCCATTTCTGTCCTGAGCGATCTTTGAATAGGCGGGTCCCCTGTGGCAAAGAAAATTGGAACCCTGTTGCTGATTTTACACTTGGCACCCCTGGCAGAATGTCCTGGCACTTGCTCACTTGCAGAAGTGGGTGTTCTAGGACCTGACGCTGAGCTCTTTGAGCCAGGCGCACTGCAGGTCAGCGGGAGAGTGGCCATGCCTTGCATGATGTGTGGGCTGCTCCATTATTTCCCCTGGTCCCTTTTAACCTCTTCAGTTCAATTTTAGCCTCCCCATGTCCCAGACCCTCTTGCTGCTACCACCACCAGGTCCTCCCTAGTCCCCCAGTGTCAGCATTGTCCCCTGGGAGTCGTAGCTGCTGTCACTGACTCCCAGCTCTACACTGGCCTGTTTACCACATTGTAGCCCTTAGGCCTGTTGAACTTACTCTCTAAGAGAGGCTGGGACCTGACTAGGTTCAGGGTGACACCCAGGAGAGGTGGTGGCCCTTACATGTTAACATGGAGTTGAGGACCAGGGAGTTGCCGGGAAAGGCTGTAGGTGCCTTGTTCTTCCTGTCTGAGGCTGGTGGGGACATTGGCAGTTCTGGCTCTCAGGCCCCATTGTGTGGACTGTGGCAGGAGTCTGCTCCCTGGTCAGCCTCATCTCTGTCTTCAGAAAGTGGGAGCAGCAGCACAGGGCAAGTGCGAGGGCCTCTCCATCGAGTGGTCACACTGGGACGCAGCGTGCAGCTCACAACACAGAGCAATCCCGTACTCTCAGGCTAGAACAAGGCCTCCTGTCAGCCCTTTGCTCACAAACTGCAAGCTCAATCCAGGGGGCTGGCAGCCGGCAGGGGCTCTCCTCTCGCCCAGAGACAGGCCCAGAGGTTTACAAGTTTTCTAAGCTTTTGATAATGTGAAGCTCCAGGTTAAGAGGATGCTGTTGAGCACACTGCAGCTATGTAATTTTTGGTGTATGTATGTATTATTTAAAGTTGAAAAACAATCTGAAAAGCAAAGATATTAACTCTTACTAGAAAAAAAGACAAAAAAAGAAAAAGCCAAAGCATGATGCGTCTTGTCAGCCTTAAGTGGGCTCCTCACCGTGCTGTGCCATGACCACCCAGCCGGCGGAGCCGGGCCAAGTTGGCCACACACTGTGGCCCTGGGAGCCCAGAGTCGGTATCTTGTTTGAGGAAGACCTGGAGTGACTGGTGGGCTGTGCTTCCCAGTGCGTTGTTCACGTGGCGATGTGAATGCCTACTGCTTACAATATCTGTATAAAGTGCTGTGTGATTAAACATTTTTTTACTTGCATTTTTTTTTTTGGTTGGCTCATTAACAAGACAAGGTGACACCATTAAACCTGCCTCTGCCATTCATCTAGGCTCTGTTGCCTTTCTTCCTCTTTGGGGCTCCCGTGTAGCCAGGGGGTCCTGGCTTCCCTGACCGGCTCAGGGACCAGTGCAGACAGCACCTTCCCCCACCCAGCCTGCATGAATGCCTTTTCTTTTCCTGCCATAGGGTCATTTGTCTTGCCTCTTTTTGGCTGGTGGTGAATTTATTCCTCAAGGCTTACAGCTGTGTCTGCCTATCAGCAGCCATGATCCCCAGAGGCAAGATTAACTATTTCAACTCCTTCCAGATTCTGGAGAAGCTGACATCATAGCACCTGGTGGTGAGCAGGTGTCACCCTCCTGGGCTTTAAGCCAAATAGCTGCCCATTTGGGAGACTGGCATATGCCCCTCCCTGCTGCTGCATTTTAACTCCTGCCTGGCACTCCACAAGGATGAGTGGGGACAGACAGAAGCAGCTCAGTGAGCTTGAGGAACTCTAGTCCCCTCACTAGGGGGATGACAGACCCCTCTTAATAAGAGAACACCTGCTGGCCATTTTGACCTCTTAAATCTCTTTTGTTACTTGTTGATTTCCTAATGCCCTTAACTCAGTAACTCAGACACTTTCTTCTTCCTGCTAAATTCACATGGGGCTCCAACCAGATGTGCTGACACTAGCTGGCTGTGTGGTCCTAGGTAAGATGTACCAGCTTCAGCTCGTCTTCCCATGTGTGGGGTCAGTGTGGTGAACCCTATACCTAGCATACGACACTGCAGGAGCTCTGGCTCTGGGCCTCCCACCAGCATGGCCATATCTGGGGGCCTAGGCTGTCAGTAATGTAGTCCAGGCTTGAGCAAGACCCTGTTCCCTCCCCAGTCCCCAGAACAGGACCAGCAGGCTAGGAGTATCACTTTATTTGGATTTAGTTCATGGTGTGGGCATCCCAAAACAAAAAGAGAATGCCTTCCA